GTGTGTGTGTGTGTGTGTGTGTGTGTGTGTGTGTGTGTGTGTGTGTGTGAGCCCATAGAGCCAAAAAACAGACACACAAACATTTCAGCTGTCGGTGGCAGGATGCTCCCTAAGCCTGAAGAGGTTTTCAGCAGCAGCCACACATACAGCCACTTTTCATAGCTTAGCTTTCACGTGTATTAGGAAAAAGAATCCCTAAACTTCCCTTAAAACCCTGACGGAGTCGCTCACTTTCAGTGGTTTGACCCCTAAAGGACCAAAGCAAAGCCTGGAAAATGTTGCTGAAGCTCCTCAGTCAGCTCTTACATTAATGATTGAGGTTGTTAGTGACTAAGTTGTTCTATTTTTACTAAATAAAACATAGGATTATTGAGGCTGCTTTTCCCAAGCCCCAAAGTGTGCTACCATTACAATCACGTCAACGTGGTAGTCATCTGTTTTTATGAGAAATAAATACAAAGTCCTCTTTAAAATATCTAAACACAAAATGTCCCACAGTTTTAAAAAGGTACGTCCAGAATCCTCAAAGACTCTTCTGTCCATCTGGATGCTAAATGAGTAACTTTTGGACACGTAGTCGTCACCGACAGCTGTAGAGCCGCTCAACGATCACCAAAATAAAATGGCAGGCCGTAAAAGTGCACTACACAGTAAACAGGCAAACAGCCTAAGTATAGGTCAAAGATAGCCAGGTATTTACTGTACAGAAAGGTAGTATTACATTAAGATATCTAGACCACTATTGTGGAGTATTTGTACAGATTATGGGATAATTAAGGCAGGTTTTAAGTAAGGGAAATTGTTGAATTGATAAGTTTTGGCATTCGTTTAACGGACGTGTCTCCAGCTCTAGATTTGCCTCATCATTTTGGCAACACCACATTTTCTTCTCACTGTAAAAACTCAGCATGTTAAGGGTTAAAAGCTGCACTTGTGGCAGGTTCTATCTAATCATTTCTACATTTAACGAGTAATGCATACATAACTGAAAGGTTACAGAGCTTCAGCTGCACCAGAAGGGTTAACAGAGTGGACGAGTCGGACTCTACTTTGCCACTTGCAGCAGTGGACACACCCACAAAGAAAAGCCCGGCTTATTGACATAGCAGATGTCTTGTGCAAACACACACAAACATACACTCATAGATGCTCTGGCATTCACACACCAAACACAGGCCTACTAGAGCACACACACACACAGCTGAACTGAATGTGACTGTGAAGCCTCAGCGCTGTTTTATTCCAGCCAAAACAAAACAGGAATATTAACGAGGACAGAGACGTCTCATATCTAAGTGTTCTGCCCAACAGGTGGACGACGGGGGACACAGAGGACAGAACAATCAAAGCCTGTTGCTGCTCTTTATCGGGCCAAAGTCAGCCGTCCTCAGCAGGTTGTGTGTGATCCTCAATCAAAGAGCCGAGAGGAGAAATCTGGATCCTATCTGAGCCTCCTCCAGATGATAGCGAGTATGTTTGGCATCAGATTAAGAAAGAAGTCCATTATCTTCCGGTGGAAATGTGTCCATGATTTAGTGTGTGTGTGTGTGTGTGTGTGTGTGTGTGTGGGGGTGGACAACGACACATAACTGAATCTGACAGAGTTCTTACCCACAGATGACCTGCTCTGTTTTAAGCTTTTGAAGGAAGATTGAAAATAGTTCCCAACAAATGCACTAATTCGTCCTGTTTAATAATGTCTGATGAGAACTAACCCACTGTTTTAGGAAATAGCTGAGCCAGCCGTTATTAAAGATGTACCTCTTCATTAGCAGCCAATGGGCTTGGGGCTGAGACTCACAGACAGGAAGTCGTTTTTTCAAAGGATTTGTTAACAAAGAGAGAAACATATTAAAGAACACCAGCCTTATTCTTTGATTGGAAAAAAAACAAAACCCTCCAACAGACCGTTTGGCCACTAAACTTCTATGGGGGGGGAAAGCTGCAGAGCATCTGGACTTGAACCCATCCAACTTATTAACATTCACAACCGCAGATGTCGTATTATGGAATATTCCAAACAGTCATCTACTAAAATCAACATCAAATGCTTACTCCGGATCTTGTTTACTTACATTTTCAACGGATATTTCCTGTTAAGAAGAATTCTCAGCAGTTTATCTCGCTGGATGAGAGCGGATGACTCCCTCCTGAAGTGAACTCAAGCTGCTGTTTTCAAGGGCAAGAAAAAACCTTGACGCTTGTCCATTGTGGTAGTTTTACACTGTGGTTCTTTCATGGCTGCTTTATGTTAAACACAGACATTGGATCAATTTAATTAAAAAGAAAAAGGGATTTTTGGATAACATGTTTAAAGAAAACGTTTCAGTGTTGGTACTGAAACTCAGGTATGTAAAGACGTCGGTAAGTTGTGTTAGCACAAAGTTCTTCACAGTCAAAGTCGACTCAATTTCCTCCCAAACTGATACCCCAAAACCTGTTTGTTTTTACTCTGGCCTTTCCCTTTATTACTTCCTGCTATGCCATCTGGACGTTGGACATGCTCCCTGCCTGTCTCACTCCACAACACACACACACACACACACACACACACACACACACACACACACACACACACGAGGCATGATTCCTCCCACTGTGGCCTTTAACCCTGGTCCAGGCCGTAAGCATGGTTGTGATAAAGACACACACACAGTCTGATGTAAACGTAGCAGGAGGAAGAGGTGAGGGATTTCACACAGTGGGCCAACTGGAGACACATCAGAGGAAAAGATACCGTCAGCAGTCTCACACAAAGAACAAAACGCAAAGATCATTGCCAGAGAAGCTCATAAACTAACCATCTTCTCAGTGCTCACTGCTTGGACTGAATGAAAGTTCCCTGAACGCACCACGCGTTGTGCGCACTGCTGACCTGAAACCACCAGCCGTGGATAATTGCAGTGCATTTCCAGTGAAACAAACTGTTCTCGGTACAGCTGCTAACATCAGTCCGGACCAGATGGCAGAAGTCTACTTGGGGAGATTAGAAATCGCAGGGAAGCAAAACTATGGGAGACCAGAATGAAAAATAAGCCCAAGGGTTAGGGTTATAAAATGGACAAAGGAACGGGTAGTCATTTTAGTTAGTCTTAGCAAACGCACTGATGCAGTCCCAATCACACTTTAAATGACTCCCTATTTGGTGCAAACCACCGAAGCAGCGCCTCATCTGTGGTCCACGTCTTCGCTTCCTGCAGAAGACGCTGGAACCTTTTGTTTGTCCTGCAGCCAGCCAGTCCTTCAGGCTGAGACGGGAAGCGAGACACTCCCTGATAACCCCACACTTCCTGCGCCTCAGGATTTAATACCTCCACTGTTTGCCAAGGCGCTCATCTCAAAAAGACAAACAGCAAAGCTGAGGGAGGAACTTCATTTGAAAGCAAAACAGTAGAAGAAAAAAAACAAAAGAAATAAGGGCAACAAAAACAAAAAGGAAGGAAAATCAGGAGAGGAGGGGGAGGCGAGAGGAGACAGAGTGAAGGGGTCACTTAGATAAATATGAGTTTGAACAATATAATCAAACGAATGACCTGAGACTTCAGAATGAAAGTGAAAGAAAATAGACTCGGTGACACGGGCGGTCACAGAAGATCTAGAAAATGAGAAGGGTGTTTAGTTGGCTGTGAGTGGATGGAGGAAACTGGGAAAGGACAGCTGGAGGAGGGACATGGAGGAGGGGTAGGAGGGGAGAAAAAGTGGGTAGCTGGGAGATAAAGTGAAGGAAAAGACCCACTGAGTTCCTGGAATGTACAGCTGGGTTTGTCCAGAGGGAGGTCGTCCGTAAAGGGCCGTCTGTGTTTGTGTGAGAGCACGGTTTTCATCTGCGTGGTGTGGAAGCGTTGAGCATCCGATTTTAAATACATTTATTGAATTGTGCACGATGAATGGCTTGCCGTTAGATACAGGCTACGTCAGTATAACAGCGTATAGTCAGCGTAAAAACATCAACACATCTGTTTTTAGCGCCATCTGGAAACTTCTTTGTCTTTCAACTCTTTGCAACTTGCAGCGTTTTCTCTAATTGTTTGCTTTTCCAGTGTTTCATCATGATGCACACGTGTTGTCCAATTGGTGGTGATGTTTTCTTAAGTTATGACAAAAAGAAACCCCTTCAGCGGGACGATGGAAACACAACCCTGACAGCAGTAAACCTATTCCTATCTCATTGGGGAGGAGTCCTTTTCTTCTTTTTTTTTTTACAGGGTGCTACCATAAAGTCTGAGTTAGAATAACACATGGCAGACAGAAGGAAACTCTATCATGCCAGTTGTGAATGCCGTAAGATTTCTCGGTGCTAACAGACACTGTAACAAATCCTCCCCCAGGCTACAGAAATCCAGGGCGCAGACAAAAGCCTCCACATGCCACACAGGCAGAACGGTGCTCCAGCAGCAGCCTGCCACTTTCAGTGAACCACCGACACTACGCTTCACTCCAGCGGGCAGTTACGGCCACCTCGGCCCACCACCAGTCAGTCAGTCAGTGTATCAGGCACTGTGCCAGGACTTAGGGTCCATGTATACTATTCTGTTACCGGCCGGCTGACATGGAGGAAGCAGAGGTCACAGAGCCATGAAAGCCCATGACATCACTTGAGTTGTAAGTTGGGGTCAGGATAGGGAAGGGGGGGGGGCTACGACCGCAACAGGTCACATGCAGTGATACTCACTCTTGCATCTGTACAGCAGGCGCACACAGAAAAGATCTAAACAAACTCTCTTCTTAAAGGGTCACTTCCCCCAAACTACAAAAAAACATGTTTTCCCCGAGGGAGTCAGTATCGAGCTGATATCGGTGTCGCATCGCTGCATTACTATCGTCTACCAGCCCAAGTGGTGTGCAGACACGGAGAGTGTTTTGGTTTCAGGCACCGAGGTAACCTAGGTAACCATTATCTGTCGGTGGCTTTTTCAAGTGCTCCTTGTTGATACTTGACAGTTTTCAGTCCAACAGATACATTTGGGCCGACACTGAAAGAGTTGTGAGGTTCATGGAACTTTCTTTCCAGTGAAAAAATGAGAACATGTGTTTCTCTGTAATTAAGGTAAACTGACACCTTAATACTGTGGTTCTCGACCTGAGGTCACCAGATGCTTCCGTTATATTAAAGAATAAGTTCTATTTAATATCTTTTTTTTTTTCTATGTAAAACCCAATAATACTTTTAACTCTTCAGTGCTCTGAACATCCAATAAAAAACAATCTGTGACAGAACATTTCTCTTTAGTTCCACCAACCTGTGATGAAGAAGAGGTAACCAGCAGACAGCCCTATATTTTAAAGGGTCACAAGCCAAAAGGTTGTGAACCGCCACTTTAAAAAGCTGCACATGCAGAGGAAGAAACTGTCCCCGGTGTTCCGTTTCTGCATTTGTCAGCATGTTCTCTGACACTTCAGCATCTTCTGATACAAAATCTGTGACTGGCTCACAATATAAAGATGTGAAGAAGAAAGAAGTGCATACGATGCATGAGACTGAGACGCATCAAGGATGTCATGTACTGTAGTTATAGTTAACACCTTCTCGTTCGTGCATGAATTAATTCATTCAATCCCATCAATACTCACCCTCTCCTTCTATTTTCTCAGGGTTCCGGCTCCACACTATCTGCCGCATGTCTTGCTTTATCTGGAAGGTTCTCCTCTCGGGCCTCTGGGACTTCTTCTGGTAGAAGACGGTCATCACTGTCCCCATCTCGAGGCTGTGGAGGATGCGGGGACCGGTCTCGGTCCAGTCCTGCATCCTGGAGGCCGTGACCGGACCGGCAGACCCCGCGGCCCCACCGGCGGCGGCCTCATCGGCACAGCCGTTGTGGCAGCCGCTGAACCTGGCTGCACACATCTTCACTGCATAGCGACACGCACACCTCGCAGGATTACTGATCTGTGGCGGTTTATAGGTGAGGATGCTTTAATCACTGAACGCACCAGTCATCTAACATGTCCAAACCACTGATGCCAGGAGGGAATCTCGTTATGAATCCAAATCCCAGCAGGCAGAAGTTATAAGTACGTGTGTGATTAAACGATTGACATTAAAACAAAAGCTAACAAATATCACTCAAGAGCGGAAACAGTGAAATTGTCCTCTGGTTCTCTGGAGGGGGAGTGTATCCCTGTGTTATCCTTTCCAGATGCTTCTGGCAGCACACCAGTGAAATCCTCTCGGAGCGAGATCTCATCACCGCTGGACTCGTGTTTCCAGACTTTAAGTGTCCTCCTGCCGCTCCTTCAATCCAACGACCGGAAAAAGTCACCCACAGTCCGGCTTTGAATCCACGCCGCGTCGCTTGCCTCCCTTTAGCAACTTTGAGACGTGTCTGTCCCGCTCCTGGCCGTTTGGAGAGTGAAGTCCGTGCGAGCGACAAAGACGCCGAGTTATGCAAGGGCGAGTCGGACAAAATACCCGGTGGTGAGCGCAGAAAAAGAGGACGGGCAACGGAGGGCGCTCTGCGGCGGCTTCACGGAGACAGAGAGGCGCGCGGATGGGAGACCACGGAGTGGCTGCGCTCCCATCCGCCGAACCATTCTCCCCTCACACACTCCTCCTTCCTGGGCACGTTAAACCGCCGACAGGATGCATTACCATACACAGTGGTAACCGTGCGGAGGCGTGGTGGCAGGCAGCAGGCTATGAAGTTAATTGCCCCGGGTTCTCCTCGCTGCTCCTCGACCAGGACCTCTCTGTCTGTGCGTCCGCGCTGCTCCAGCGCCAGAGGTTTTGAGAGGAAATTAGGGCTAGCCGACCGGAAAAGCTTGATCAGATTTTTTTTCCCTCTTGTGCTGTAATATATATATATATATATATATATATATGAATGAGGGAGGATGCGGGGAGGAGAGGGGGAGTCTCAGCGGAGAACCAACGGCGGAGAGGAGGAAGGGAGCAGAGCGACCTCCGCGGGTCTCCAGGGGACCTGCATCCACGGTGGAAAGGAAACACACGTTTAACGCGGATGAACCCACAGAGGGAACAGGACGGGGGATGAGTCCGGGCGAGAGGTCAAGTGGGGTTAAATGAGGAAGGTCTCAACATGTCAGCCAGTCATCAGCTGCAGTAACAAATCATTTATGCATCTTAATAATAGCAGGTTATTAAAAAACTCAAGTTACATTTTTTTTAAACCGTTCCCAAAGACAAATATGAACACTAATAATATTATATACCTAAAAACGTGTCATCAGTTGAGTGCAGATATCCGCCAGGTGTGTTGACTGGCTATAAGCTAACTGGCTAACCCTCATCTAGACACCATAACCTGTAAGGCATGCTAAAACCACATTTCATTCAAACTCAAAAACAAGCGTCTACTTATGCAGAAAGTCGGCGCTAAGTAGTTATATAAGACACGTGACACACGTTTTACAAAAACAAAATTAAATGACATGAGTGGTCCTTACGCAGCAATAATGTCAGGAAGTAAAGTAAAGACATTTTTTTTTTATCAACCTGACAAAATTACGTTCTTGTGGGAAGAAAAGAAAAGGCAACACCAACTTCTTTACATTCTAATAGAATGTAAAGAAGCTACATTCTAATACAATGTAGCTTCTTTACATTCTAATAGAATGTAAAGAAGCTACATTCTAATACAATGTAGCTTCTTTACATTCTAATAGAATGTAAAGAAGCTACATTGTATAGAATGATTCTATTGAAGTTATTCCTTTTTTTTTAAATGTTTTAGACGAGTCACTAATCACTTTAAAATAGTGATTATAGCTGATTTAACTTACAGACATGAGATTGATCTTCTCATGTCACTCTCTTTATACAATGATATAAATTCATCCCCGTTTTATTGATATCTTACGAAATATTACTCCTCACTTTTCGTGCGTTTTTCCTGCAAAAGTCCAGCAACATGAGTCTGTTTTCGCTTGTTACATGCATAGGCCTACTGTCTTTTCTAAATAAACTTCCATCTTCACAGGAAACAACTAAGGTTTAGGCCAGGCATGTCCAAAGTCCGGTCACACATGAATGCTTACATTTGGTTACATTGCTATTTGCTGTCATTGAAAATAAAATGATTAAACAACAATGTATGTATAGGCTACTTGTATTGTTTAAAATAATGTCAGCAGGGACTGTTGGCCCTTGGGCATTTTCACATTATCAAATCTGGCCATCTTTGAAAAAAGTTTGGACACCCCTGAGCTAACGGAACTACAATGTACACAGCCTCCGCACGCTGCTCTGCGGCTCACGCGTATTGTTTTGGACGGTTTGTTTGGCTAAAACACACCGCGAACCGTTTTCCCTCCGCTGGGGGCGCAGTGCAGCATATGGGGGTCAGAGGTTGACTCAGTTGTGTTATTACTAGCGACCCCTAGCGGCCGTCAGGTTAAGAGTAGTAGTGAGTGAGGAGTCAGTAGCGGTAAAAAAAACAGGCACTAAAAGGGCTTTACCACGAAAGCTACAACATTATAGTCTTTCAACACTGATGGTGATCGTCAGTTACAATGTTTCCTAATAAATACAACTTCAATATTATGCATGAGCACAAAACATGAGCTGAAGGCTCTCAGTGTGGACTGTGTGAGATTCACAGTGTCGTTCACCTCAGTGAGAAGAGACAGTCTGGGATGACATCACAGCCTCCTACCCCATGTCTAATCGGCTCCATATGTCTGCTGGGTGTAGCTGCATGTCTACTACTACTGGTCAGCGGGCAGCCAATCCCAATGCAAGGAAACATTCTGGCATGTGCAGGAGCAGAGAGGAAGGGAGGGTGAAGACATCTGCAGCAAAGGGTTTTTTAAGAGAGTGCATGTGCAGAGAGGATGAAGTGGATCCAATCATTAAACCCTTCTGAGCCGGATCCCAAATCCAAAATAAGTCAAACACCAAAAGGACAAAAGCAAATATCACACAAAGTACAACTGCACACAAATATCAGGGTATTTCGTCTTCTGCAGTTGCTGTTAAAACTCAAAATATAGCCTGCAAATGAAGAAGTTGTAAATTACGTTAAAGAAATGCACCTTGAACAGAATGATTATCACATGTGAGCAATACGTAGATAGCATGGAGCTAATTCAAAAACTGCTGGAATATGTTGAAAGTAGCAGAAATGTAATCTGCATTCATCTATATTTGGTCACGAGGGAGCAAACAACCTCCTATATGTGTCCACCTGATTAATGTCACTATGTGGAGATTCACTCTCCTTTTAGCTCTTAGTTTGGTCTCCACCACCTCCTGAGTAAACAAAGGAAAGGCCGGGTCTGTCTGCTGTTTGCTGCTGAGCAGGTAGTGTCCTTGTCAGAGCTTATTGTTTAAACCTTTGTTTAGCCGGATTAATTAGCTAATCAAATTTAAGTTTAGTAAACGATCCCCGTCACATTCTGAAGGGAGCGAAAATGAAACGTTAAAGATGAGTGTGGACGGTTGAAGACGGAAGACAAATCCTGCATGTTAGGGGAGTATACTGTGAGTGTTAGTTATGAATTCATGTTGACAAAAGGGCCAGTCTGTCATTTCTGATTGAAGAGTTTGAGTTACAAATTAAAAATCTACATTGTGTTTTTCAACCAACCAATCTATCATCCCTTCTTACCCCAACATTCAGACATTACTGATGAAAGACAATCAATCTGAACTCAAGGTCTACTCACTACCTTTTTTTATTATCCATCATTAGATTGCTTTGCAGTTTTCAGTTAAAGACATCAAACCACAGTTTCCAGCAGAAAAAAAAGTCCATTAAGTCCAGATGCTGTGTTGCTTCCATCTGTCCACTCTGGTCAAGCTGTGCTCATCTTAACCCTGTTGTACAGACATTAGCTGAATGACACAGGCCACAGCACATTAGTGCATTCCTATATTTGGAGAGTATGTTAGGGTTCCTTGGGAGAATGCTCTACAAACGTATTTGCACTTCTCTCACCAGGAGGCACTTTGGAAATGACGGTCAATAAAAAGATTAAAAAAAAAACACACAGGCGATGACAACAGAGCAGTTGTCTAGGATTATATTTAGTTGGCTAAAAGGAAGTTGCTGTTGCTGGAGCTTCCTTTTTGGATCTCTGTGACCAGGTGATGGAGTTGCTCCGACAGCGCCACCTGGTGGAAGAGAACGCCGTAGCTAAGATGAGAAGCTCTGTGTTTATTTGATGTGTATCCAGTCCAGATGTGTTTGTGTGTGAAGCTCACCGTGTAAGAGTCGGGCTCCTGCAGCCTTTTGTGTCGGGGGTGCAGAGTCTGGAGGGAACTCTGGACCTTTACTCTAGTTTCTGCAGCGCTGCTCAGAGGGTGTGTGACCTAGAAAGTGTGGGAAGACACATTCATAAAGACTCAACTCCTACGCAGCACGTTCCCTGCAATATTGTCTTATTTTGCAGCGTTACGAAGCAACCAATCTATCTTTTTATTAAGTATGATACTCGTATTAACTGTGGTTTATTGTTACTTTTATACATTCTACTGCTGAAGTACATGCCGGGTGACTTTCTGTACTGAAGGACCACAAAGAGGATATTCATCTTTTTTGTCTTTCATCCTAAAAAGTTTTTTCTTTTCTTTCCCGTAATACCATTGAATGAAAATAACCCACATCAAATATTTGAATTTGCTGCTTTCAGATGTGGTTTATGGTTAAAGTGTACAGAGAGAGACGAGGGCTGAATTCAAACTGCAGACTTTAAGGGTGTGTCTTCCCTATGAAGTCCAGAGTGTCTACTGCTGTCCAATACATCAAGTACACAAGGGAGATAATGCACACTTTATACAGCCTTCCAGTCCACTTCTGGTGTACAATTCAACAGACTTTTGTTCAGATGAGAACCCCAAAAATATGGACGTGATGATGGACAGGACACAAGAGCAACAGCAACTAGTCTCCTCATTTAAAAAAGATAGTAAAATCTTTGAGCAGCTCCGGTCCATCCTCACCTGTCCTTTGGTGAACACCTCCTGGCGCAGACAGGTGACCTGAGCTGGAATGACTGAGACACAGGAGTTATCACACATCAGAGGGTAACAGCTCAGAGACACTCCCGCCTCTGGAGGAGACTCCACAGCGAGACTCACCAGGTCCAGAAAAGGATGGCCTGCGAGGGAGGGAAAAAAAAAAAAAAAAAAAAAAAAAAAAAAAAGAGCGGGAAGCCCATGAAAACATTTACAAGCGCGCTGGCAGCCCAGTGAGGCTGCGATGCTCGTCATGCACCAGGAGACCAAATGATTCTATTCTTACAGCATTACAACTGGAACGAGGGGTGGTGTCAGTCGGCCATTGTGTTTCCTAAATCAAAAAGGGTTTGTTTACCAAATGGGGACTTTTTTTTGGTCCATCCTAACTTGTTGGTCTCAGCTCCACGTTGCCAAAAATGGCTCAACTTTCACGAGTCGAAACATGTACTTAGGCTCAAATGCGAACATGAGCATCCTGTGTGGGTGATATGAATACAATACTATCTCACAACAAAATGAATATTATCAATGGATAACATCAGTAGGTGATCCAGCGAACTGAATTCCTTTAAAAATGTAAGGTGCTTTCTCTCATTATTGCAAAGATCACATATCGTTAAATAATGGCCCTAATACACCCAGAGACATTAAAGGGATGGCCACGGTCATCTGCTGGTATGTCACATGTTGTGCAGCTAAAAAAAAAAAGCCCAAATAAGATGGTGAAAACATAGAGAGAAATAATTTTGGGTGAAGAGAGTTGAAGACGGACGTGGATTCTCACCCTCGGCGTCTATTAGCCTGTAGACGGATTTCCTCCCGGGGACAGTGCTTTTCTCTGGGTCCTCGCTGATCTTCATCCTGGGCTTTCCCCTCACCTCCACTAGCTAATACACATACAAAAAAATGGCGCCATGCAAATGTTAAAAACGGAGAAGTGAGTTGGAGGCATTTGGAGAGACGATAAAGCGCGTTACCTTATACACACAGCCCAGCGAGGGTTGCCGCGTGCAGGTGACCAGATGTGTTCCGACCCCGACCACGTCGATCTCATTCTCCTGAAATAATGACACACAGAACATCAGAGAACAATAATCATAATCATCATAAACAATCCACCTGTTCAGTCACAGTCTACCTTCTTGTTGAGCTCCGCCATGCTTTGCTCTGTGATGTTATTGGTCCCAACGATGATCAGCGAGTCGAAGGCAGAGACGGAGAAGCTGTGGAGATAAAGCCGAACAAAGAGGAAGAACAGGACAATCAGACGCGCGCCACAGACCTCTGGAGGAGTGAGACGTATTCCCACTGTGGGATTTGTTAGAGACGCACACATGCAGCAGGGCACCTCACTCACTGCTCGCTGCAGAGTCTGAAGACGCGACGGACGTCAAGCGACTGCCTGCAGAGGTCCCCGCTGTCCAGGCGGACGCCTACGGGCCTGTAGCCCACTTCACACAGGGCCAGGGCCACCGCGCAGAAGTTCAACAGGCCACTACTGAAATCACACACACACACACACACACACACACACACACACACACACACACACACACACACACACACACACACACACACACAATCATCAAACATGAACTAGTAGAATTAATAGGTCACTTTGGGTTCTGGGAAATTGTGATTTTCCCCAGTTTTCGATGAATTATTACTTGTAAAATGTCCTGATATTAATTAGAAGACATGTGACTGACATGTGAAATGAGGGTTAGGGTTAGCCAAACTATATTACTTTTAGATTTGTTGGTCTAAACCTGATTTCATTCAGAGGACACTAGAGACACCTGCTGGCACAAACGGCACATTGTACTTCTGCTGTAACTAATATGTACTGCTCTGCTATCTATATTCTTACTAACTCCAACTATGATTCCTCTTAGGCTACATGTGTTGTAATGCCTTTGTTATAAAATAAAAGATGCAATGTCAGTGGTGAACAAAGTACTGCGATCCTGGATTTAAACAAAGGTATTAATACCACAATGTAAAAATACTCAAATACAAGTAAAAGTCCTGCATTTAGAATTCTACTGAAGTCAAAGTGCAGAGGTATTATCAGCTAAATTTACTTGAAGTATTAAAAAGTGCAAGACAGCCGGCCTTGTGACTGATACACTTTAATTAATTAAATTATTAAATGAATATCGATGCATCAATGTGTACGCAGCATTTTTCAGAAATGAACACAAAATTCATATAAGTTTTGCATTTTTAGTTAATTATTGGATACTTTGACCTCTTTGGGTCAGGAACAGTTATTGAAATTAAACCATGTGAGAGACGGTTGGGGACCACTGGTATATTTGCAATATTTTGTAAGCTGATTATATGTTTTTATAATGTATTTTGTTAATATGAACTGTCAAATGAATGTAGTGCAGTAAAAAAGTACAAGATTTCGCTGTGAATTGTAGTGGAATTGAAATATAAAACATAAAATAGAAATACTGAAGTAAAATACAAGTACCTCAAAATGTACTTAGCTATTTTCCCCCATTGTGCAACACACAGTATACTATGTAAATTGTTGAAGTTCGAAAGTGGAGAAAACGTATTATTATTTACCTTATTAATTATTGTTTACTTTATTAATCTATGTATATCTGAGGGATTTGAAGTGAAAACAGGAGGCCTGAGATATACTGTACAGTATAGAGATTCTCCAGAAAGTGAGACGCTTGTCAACGATCACATGACAAAAGCCTCCACACACAGTTTTTTTAGTATCAATCGTAGCACCACTAGTTACCAGCCAACACTGTAGCTGTCAATCACAGGCAGGAAGTTCTGAGGGTAGGCGATGGCGTAGGACAAGAAGGCTGCCAACTCGCCCTCGCGGATCTTCCCAGGCTCACCTCCCAGAAGCTCACACACACGACTCAACCAGCCCTTAGTCAACGAAATGATGTCAACTGGATCGGAGTCCCCATTCAGCGCCACAAGAGTCTGATCGGAGACGTGATACGGGGACATGTTATTGAAGACAGAGGACACAGTTAACTTCTTTTCCATATGATCACCTATTGTTTTTGAAGAACGACGACGACAAACCTGAAAGAAGAACTAAAACAAAGAAGTTGAAAAAAGCAAGTGTGTGTTATTCTTTAGCTTGATTTAACCGTTAATTATTTTCAATTATCTAAAAGATAGGATGTCTTATCAGCGATACGCTACTGACTAAACCTAGGCAGTAAAAACACACAATTTGTACTTGTCGAGCTAAATAAGCTTTACAATCATTGGTGTGGTCCTTTGAGGGTGATTGCAGGAGGGACAGTACTCACTTGTGGCCAGACCTCCTCCAGGGAGGTAAAGGAAGTGACGTACGAGTGTGCCATGGTCCCCGCGACTGGGATCCCAAACAGGAAACCAGCCTGAACGTTACTGGTGAGATCAAACCCTGAAAGACAGGTTCGAGTGTCAGTCTGCGGGCGTGTCAACATTATCACGACACGCCTGAAGAATAGTCATTTTGAGAGCATTTAGAAAAACCATCTGGTGCTGGCTCTTGTTCATAGGTTTTCAAGTAATTGCAATCTTGCAGCTCTGTACAGTCCTTGTGCATCACTCTGTCAGATGTTTTTATCTGCTCCGGGGGCTGAAAACTGCTCTTTCAGTGGATCCAGATCCATGTGCCTCCATACAGACATGAGGAAAATAACATATATATATATATATATATATATATACATATATATGAACACGTTACAGACCGCACAAACTTCACCTCCAACGTGTGTGTATCGGGAGGCGGTGAGCCCTCCATCCGGTCCCTGAGCCCTCCTGAGGCCCATCTCCAGCAGCTTCCTGCTGGGGCCGGCCGCCAAGCGGAAACGGGCAGCGTTACTGCACACCAGGCTGACAACAGAGAGGAGCAGAAACAGGCTGCTTTGAGTCTCAGAGTTGAGTCTCAGGGTTATAAAATGTGCAGTTTGGGCAGAAAGCTGTGGCCTTTCCCCTTTAATTTGGTAATTGAATTTCAGTGTTAATGCTTTACATAGGGGCGCCTTGGTGTCTTTATTTTGAGAAAGAAAAAAAGTGAATTCACCTCGAATACTCCCTCTGAACTTGCCCGAGTTTCTTTAAACTTAGAACATAAAGTTTATACACAATGCGTAAGACTATCACATGCATATTCTTTTTTTGCATTTGCTTCTTCCGTTACTTTCTTAAAGCTACAGCATATGATACTTACATTCAGTGAAATATTTCAACGCAAGAAATCATGTATTTTATGGCTTCATCATTCTGTGAAATACAAATACTCTCGTAAATATCCAGACATTTCCTCATATGTAGTATCTTAACCTCGGTCCTTCTCATCAAGCAGAGAACGCCAAACTAGGCTCAAATCACATCATAATTGGGCTTTTTCTTAAAGATCATCTTATGACATGGACAATATTTAGTCTGCAGTGTGGAGAGAGAGAGAGTGATGACATGTGGCAATGATCCCTCGCCTCGATCAAACCTGAAATGTCACAATTATGTACGCATGGAAGGCCACAAATGTAGTCAATTTAATCAGAAAAAAGAACCAATGACAAAAGTAATTTACTGGTTGCATTGTATATGTAATATGTTTAGAGGACCAGCTGTTTTTTCTGTGTGTATGGTTGTTGGTTGTTACCTGGCATAGTTGACCAGACACAGTAAACTGGTCTCCAGCAGTTGAACCACAGCTAACGGACCCGCCACCTCCATTAGAGGCTCCTGCAGATGTTTTAGAGATGTAAGACAGGTTATTCCCCCCTCCTCCTGTATTTAACCTTTGACCTTCAGTTTCACCCTGAAAAGCTGCAGCTGAGCTCACCCTGGCAAACACCACAGTGCCCTCCGGGACGGAGCGGAGTGTGACGCCGGAGCAGTCCAGGCCTCGCAGGAACTGGAAGAAGGCGGGGTCGGTGGCGGGGGGCAGGACGGAGCGCAGGAACTCCACATCTGGATCCGCAAAACACGACGTTTAGCACAACACAGCTGGGAACGCAACGCGACCAGCGACAGAGGAGCATCCTTCATCCCCCAACACATGTGCTCTTACACAAGAACATGTGTCCTCACGTGTGTCCCGGCTCACCACACACACACAATTACAGTAAAGGAGCTGAAATCGAATAACTCGCCGTGAAGCTAAACTCACAAGGACAGATACAGGAGACCATTCCTGCCCTCTGCTATAAGACTCTATAATAAACCACCTCTGGCCAAATCATCCTTCACATGACTACAACACCGCTACACTGTTGTTGATTGCTGTTGGTGATCCTTGCACTACTGTTTTTTACCTAGTTAGTTAATTTAAAAACATTCTATTTTATTGTGTATATACAGTACTGTGCATTTTTTTTAATTATTTGATTTTATTTAAATGCATTATATTCTGCTCTGTTATTTTATTGTATATATCGAGCATATAAAGTATATATTTATCTATCTATCCTCCGGCAGCGACCGACAGACTTCAGAGTTGTGACCGTGGTGACATTTAGACCGAACATGTTGGAGTGTGGCCATGACAGCTCGAGCTTCACTTCACTCCAATGTTATGCAGCTCTCACATTGCCTCCATGCAGGATTTTTTTTTAATGGTCTGTCTATCTTCCTTTATTGTACAGCGCTTTGTGCTGCACTTATAACAATAACTTTATTTATATATTGCACCTTTAAAAACAGAGTTTACAAAGTGCTTTGACAGACAAAGCAGCAAAAGCAGGGCAATGATAACAATAACAGAAAGCTCAGTGAGACAGTCGTTACGATAAAAAAATAAACTAAGAAATAAAACATTTGAGCCAAAAGCATTTCATTACTTGCAGTTTCGCCTCCATGAGGAGAAGCAGTGTTAAATACTCTCTCGGTATGCGGTGTGCTGTTGCTTCATGCGCACACCGGAGATTACGGATTATTCCTGTAGTGCTAAAAGGTCAGGTGTCAACGTCAAAGTTCACATTGAAACGCCTCTAAAGGGTCGCGCGGCGGAGTATTGCGCAACCACAGCGTAAAAAGAGTTTGACAAGCCGATGTGATGATACTTTTTAACACCGCCATTGATTACATTTGGCCTTCACTTCATACTGTTTGAACAGCAGTCTGATGATAACACGGGTCGTTAGGTGCAAATGACATTCTCACCTTGGTCCGTGAAGCGGAAAGTGCGCAGGAAGAGCAGACAGTCGCGCAGCCCCGCGAACAGCGTGAAGCCGCCACCGAACGGGTTGTCCCGGAAGAAGAGCTCGAACACGGCGGGCTCCTGGTGCCGTCTGGTCCGCCAGTACGCGTACGCCATGGTGAACTGGTACAGGTCCGTCAGCAGCGGGGGGACCCGCTCCCGGATAGATCGCTCCATAGCTTCGCATGTGTCGCTGGACGGCGCTGCCATGTTGTTTTGTTTTTTTAAAAGCCCTGGCTATCGGTTCACTGATGCCGGGATCTCTGGGACTTGCAGTTTTGTTTTGTTTTCAGCTCCACTGACTCCCCTCGCGCTCTGTGTGGCTGAGACAAAAACCCCGACGCACGGAGAGGCGTGATGTGTGCTGGGGGAAAAAAACCGATGCTGCAGTTCCAGTTTGAGATGACACATTATCGTGAGCCAATAGAGACTTTCATTAGATGGTGCGCAACTGTATGAGGACGTTTACCTTCTCTCATGTTCTGGCAGTGGGCCAACAGTGACAGGAGGACGGATTTATGTGTGAAAGAAAATATATATGAATGCACTGAAAAGGTAATAAATCAAAAGTGCAAGCAACATGGCTTTAGTATGAAATAAAACAAATGTACTCCAAAAATGGCCCCTTGCATGGTGTTGAATTGTAGATACGTTTATGTGTAAGACTAACTTTGAATGAAATAATGTGTCATCTTCATCTGCCAAGCGACAGCTACATCAGTCGGATACATGTGGTGGAGTTGAATTATCAGCACGACAGAGAACTACTTGATTAAAGTACACATACAGTAAAATGGCATAGTACCATATTTGAGTAAATGTTACTTTCAGGGAGAGAGTGGCAAGATCTGCAGAAGCAATTTCACGTAAAACATTTATCAAGATTGTAACATAAAGCAATACAAAACAAAATATCCAAAGAATCTCACTTTGTTAAAGAAGGATCTGACTGTAGCGCCTAAATTCAGTCGAATATTCTAAAATGCTTTCTAGTTTGTTTTTCACTTATAAATATATATTCAAGATTCACATTCTGGGTTTTCTTTCCATCATATTTCAAGAACATTAAATACTATTCGATTCAAATCCACACAAGCACACCGAATATATCACATTTTCTAATTTAAGCCAGCCAAAATGGTGAAACTATTTAAACTGTTTAGCACTCTGCTGCAGACATCTGCGACTCTGAAAATGTAGCCGTTTCTTATAAATAAGATATATATTATATATATTTGTAGGCTTTGTCTGTAGTCTGGTGTTGCTTGATGTACAAACATCTCAGTGTGCCAAGTATCTGCTCTCTTCCCTTTAGCAAAGTTGCTCTAATGCTGCTCTTTACTTTACAGGTTAATTGAGACGATGCTTTGTTTGAGGGGTCTCAAGCCAAAAAAAGCCAAAAAAAGACTCTGCATCATCAATGAATATGAGTGAGATGTCATATCACATTACATAAAGTAACATCAGCTCAGGCTTCAGACAGTAACGATCCCATTGTGATCACAACTCTTGTCTTTGCTCACTGCCAGTGTGGGACACAGATGGTTTACGTGGACAGTATTTCAAATTCTAAGGCACCCACTTGACCAGTTCTGTTCGTTATCCCAGTCATTCCTGCTGCCCGCTAGTCTCCTCCGCAGTGGGGAAGCATCCCGCGAGCTCATTGGTCAGCGTTTGCCGCTGCCCCCCCCAGATAAAGTGTGTAGGCTGTCCCGATTGGCCGTGCTCCGAAGCGTAAACAAAGAACGGGCTGAGCTCGATGGCCAGAGCCGACCTGACCAGGCCGACGCCGCGCTCTGAGCACGGGTGGTAAACCCGTCCGCTGACGGGATGCATGTACAGCGCCTCCGGGCGGAACGGGGCGGACAGCTTCTCTGCCCCGCCGCAGTACGACAGCAGCTCCGGCTCTCCTGCGGGACTCTGCAGCAGGTGGGTGAAGACCACGGGACGGTCATCGCAGCGCACAAAGTTCCTCTCCCGGCCACATAGCGACAAGAAGGGGAAGTCCTCCTCATAGCGACCGCTCTGGTTGGAACGCAGCCGACTGAAGAAGAAGACCAGGAACTTTATGTCTGGTAATAAAGGATGAGGGAGACATCATGTGATGGAAAACATGAGATTTGCTCTATTGTTAATAATAAGTCACATCAGAAATACACTGAAGGCATCTACAGGTGTTTCACACTTAAACACACGGTCAGAGGTTTCAGCTATTTTAGCACACATTTGATTCATTACCTGACCATGACACCCTGTCTTGGGGATATTGTGTTTTTCTTCCTGTCAACAAATTCCATTAAACAATCAATGAGAATTAATGTGTGTGAACCAAAGCCTGTTATATGCGTGTCCTCTGTTGTCCAAAATGTATTTAAAACACACCAATGAGTCTCACTGTAGCACTGGGTGACGTGTTCTTTCATTGCTATTTTGACTCAATCCCACACGCACCGTAATGCTGCCACAAGTACTCACCAGAGCACCAAATGTGGATTAATCCGCAGCTGAAAATAGTCCCCAACAAATGAACTATTTCCTCCTGTTTGAGTAACGTTTGGCAAAAACTACAGTGACCAGCTGTTTTAGAAAAACATACTGACCCTTCTTTTTTAAATAAAACTAAATATTTATGAGCTGTTTTTAAAGATTTAGCTGTTCAGTAGGAACCGATGCATTAGGAGCTGAGAGACACAGACGGGGCAAAGAAGTCGGAAAGTATTGAGAGACAGACTACACATTGTTGTTAGTCTCTTCATGGGATTTGTTGACAACAAAAAAAATTAAGAATACTGATAGCCTTATCTTTTAAAGCGTGTGTCAAATCAAGTTTTTCAAAAACTATTTGGGCAGATATTGTGATTACATGGTGCATATTCCTAACTAATATTCAAGGTTACGATTATTGTGCACAGTTTGCTAAAATGAGGAGGCACATGCGGTTTAAGGTTTATCCTGACATGCCATTATATTCATACATAACAGTCAGACTGTTCCTTTAGCCTTGTTTACACTTGAGCTTAAGTCTATGAGGTGGAGGTATTTTTTGGGCTATTCATAAATTGCAGTTAAAAATGCATTGGACGAAATTATAAACTGTTAAATAAGCACTTTATGTGTGTGTGTGTGTGTGTGTGTGTGTGTGTGTGTGTGATTTTTACCTTTAAAGCAGGTAACAAAGTTCTTCACTTTGGTGTCATCGAGGAACAGCTGTGAGTGGAGCAGAGACCAACATGTCATGCTAGCAGGAGAATCTATTGTATCAGTCTGTTTTTGTGTTGTGTTCAGTGTACACACTCACCTGTCCTTGGTGGTCAATGTAGTAGAAGTACTCTCGGATACGTGGCTCCGGGCTCTGGCCCTGGATGTATGTAGCGGTGAATCTGGAGGCGCTGCAGCCGGCGGGCAGGCAGCGCAGGGCGGTCAGACCCCTGCAGGTGAGAGCAGCCGTCCGGAGGAACAGCATGACTGAACGGAGGAGAAAAGGACGACTAGTGTGTTAAACCACGCTGGCTTTGCCCATCGTTTTGCCCTCAAGTTGTTGTTTACAGAGCTACAACCCGGAAGTACTTCACTGCTGCAACATTGTCCGTTTTTTTTTTTTAGTACTGCCGCCTAGTGGACATTGATTATAATTATAATATTCACATGATTTAACTAAAAACATAGAATTTACTCAGAATTAAAGACTGACTTCATCTCCCGAGCAGGAAACATATAAATTATATAAGCCTGCAAACAGCTGAATGACTTAATGCTAAGTTGATGGTGGATGTTTCAGTAACTGTGATTAATGTAAATGCAGATCCCACTTTTCTGATTCCATTAAAAAACTTTTTTTGTCAGATGTTATGCATGTGGAGGTGTGTTCTTTATACTATGACACTTTTCCTAAAATTAGATTTAAAAAAAAAAAATCGCAATATGTCGCTTTGCTTAGTGTTGCAATATATTGAATCGTAACCCCTGGACTAAAATAAAGAAACAAAGGAATTATCTCAAAGTTCTAATGCCAACCATACTGTAACATTAAGTACTACCTCATTTCTATTTTTTCTCAACAGAATAAGCAATGACAGACAATTACAATGGCTTACTGGCCCCTAGGGGTTTGCACGTGCCCAGTAGACCTGTATGGTAATCCACATTAATCGTGTTAGATATCAAGAGATAAATTGAATTATTTTCATCATTGATTTCTAATGATTTCATAAAGTAATTGATTAATGGCTTTGTCTGTAAAATGTGAAAAAAATTAGTGAAAAATGCCTGTTGGTATATATTTCCCACAGTGATGTATTCAAATGACAGTCCAACCAAACCAAAATATAGTCAGTTCAATCTCATGTATTAGCTGATCATAAACTATCAAAAACTAAGTATCATTGCTGAATCATATTCTATATCAGTCGGGCATATGCTGCTTGAATATACTAGATTTGCTAACTCTGCTTTATTATGATCATTATCACATCATCACTGTCACTTTTACCTTGTTGTGTGGTTTCTATTTTTACCTCCATCCATATTTATATAATCTACTTCTCATTATTTATCTTTTAACTTTCTAAATGTATCTTTATTTCTGTCCTTGTGTTGCTGCAACAACTGAATTTCCCCTCTGGGAATAAATGAAGGCTCATTTTATTTTATATATGACAGAGACAAGCATCAAATCTACACCACACTGGACTAGAGCTGCAACCAGTGAACGGTAGTGATTTTTGGTTGAATAACTAAAGCCATGGATGGATCGCTTAATTGACTAATTGATTAATGGTTGCAGCTCATATAGGTTTAGAAAATATGCATTCATAAGCCAGTGAGCAGCCCCCATATTGTCTAATAACTTGGGAATGTGTGATTCCGGAGCAGAGAGGTGTTAATATTGCTGAGAGAACACAACAGGGCTCTTCAGGGAGCCGCATGTAAATCTCTTGGCTGATAAAAGAAGCACATAAATAACAACATTCCTCCACAACAGACAGACACACAGGCTCATGTCCCCTGAAACAGAGTAGAGGCTTCTTTGGCCTCGCGGATGGGGGACTGACAACACATAAAGCGGCTGATTCAGAAGAACTGGTAATGACTTGAACTTCGTCCGAAAAAAACCTAATTTGAAAAGCTCCAGCGGTGACTATACAGGACGTATCCACCTCCCTGAAGTTGTAGCTTCTTTCCCGCCTTCCTCCTCCTCCTCCTCCTCCTCCCACAGGTAGGGTGGGGCTGTTTCTACCTGGACACCGGAGAGTGATTTAAAAAGAAAAATGGCGTTATAGTTGGACTTTAGAGTGCTCTCATCGACACGTATTAACAGTAAGTCTCATCTTTGATAGTTTACGGTCGAATGAACACTTTATTAATCACATTGTTGAAGCTATTAAACAAGCTAACGTATCATAAAGGCTTCGGAGCGATGTTTTATCTTTTTTAGCTGTCTTCGGCTCCGTTGTTGCTTCACATGACGCTTAGAAAGCTTCCTTGTTTTAAAAGAAAAGAGTGTTTTTGTTGTTATGAATACTACTTAATGTTGATAACAGTGTAACGTTACGCCACTTACTTTGTTTTTACGTTCGTGGCGTTCTAACGTAAGCCAACATCAACCGTCGCCAAAGTAAATAAACGTCACAAAATAAAAAAAATATTCGTCAAAAGTACATTTAATAAGAAACCCGTTTGTTTACCGTTTATTAACTCGTACGGTTTCTATTTGTTCAAAGGTCATTTCTGTGTCGAAACGTATCGGTTTCGATCAGCAGGTCGCGTTATGAGCCAGCCGCCCCGTTCAAACCGGGGACAGCGGGAGAGAAAGGGGGAGAGAAACGGGGACCGCCGACAGGACCGAGACTCACGCGATGACAGACGTTCATCACCCAACAGGTGAGGTCACGTGCTGTTAGTAAATAACATCCTACCTGTGTCCTGAGTTCATACATTAATGGATGACAGTGTTAGTTTGAAACTCTTTTAATCATTTTTACGTCCTTATTTGGTCCTTTTGTCGAAATTGTGGTTCTTTTATATATTTTCAAATATGAACTGTATCCATAAAGAAATATATGACAGTGAACTATTATAATACTATACCACGAGTCATTCAGTAGAGTCTTATGGTACGTTACTTGAATAGGTTTTATATCAATGTACAGTTAATTATATTTTTACCTACACAAGCTCAATCCAGCACCACTAATGTACACTTTATTACCGGACACATTATTGTACAGTGTGTCATAAGTTCAGCCAATATTCTCACAAGTAAAATAAACCACTGAATTACAAATATCTTTTTTTTTATCGTGTTGTTCTCACAATGAAACAAACCATGGAAAAGATTCTGTTTTTCAGTGACACCAACAGCAGGCGGTAGATGACTTCCTCATGCATGTGTTTCTGTGCTCCAGGTCTTCGTCTCGACCCCCATACTACCCCAGTGAGGCCGACTCCCCTCCCAGTTATGCGCGGGAAGCCCCTCGAGTGGAGCACCACGAGTCCAAATGCACACACATTTGCTCCAGGAGAGGTGAGTCCGGATCCCAGTGGAAGTATCCGGCTCGGATCAAAGGAAAAGCTCCTCTAATAGAAGCCGCTGCGTCACAGGGCAGACCGTGGTTTCAGTCTCAGTGCAGCTCACACATGTCCCCACTTCTAGGAAAACTGGACTGACCGGTTTTCTGGTGTTTACAGGCCTCTTCTCTCAGAGTCATCGGCTGAGTAACTTTAATGAAGGAGAAAGCCGATAACCTGATATCTGAGTCTGTTAGATTAATCACATGCTCCTGACCGTTCATGTGCCAAAGTAACAAAAGAGTTGATCCTCCAAGAATGTTAATAACAGATTCAGGACATTTACACCTGAAGGAAGGAAGGAAGGCCTTAACTGTTATGGACTATTATGTATTAACTATTACCACACACACATGGACTGTTCTCATCAGAGCATCAGAGCTCGGACCAGCAGCCTCAAAAATTCCATAATAACCTTTTTTTTGCATATTGCAATTAATTATAAAAGTAATCAATCATTGTGTCCCTGATTCTCAATGGGGTGCATGGACCCTTCAGGTCCTTCAAAGTCTTACAATTAGTTTACTGTATTTATATGTATATGTGTGTATATATACACACAACTTAATACTAGTATCTTTTACTGTTTCTTTTGTTTTTCGCCCTTGTTTCTGTCTTTGTGTTACTGAAGGAACAACGTACGGTGTCACACGTCTCTTGTGTTTCCCTTCAGGCATCGTGCTGATGTGCTCTGTGCTGACCAACGCCCTGGTCCTGATCTGCCTGGTCGCAGCTCAGATGGTGACTTCGGGAATGTCTTCCATGGGCTTGGGCGGCTTCAACATCAACTCCAACTTCAACCTGCAGGGCACCGAGCTGCAGAAGGTGCGTCAGCTGGACAGTGAGTACAGCCAGATGAGGGCGCCGGGCATCTACGGCGGCATCCCCTTCAGCCTCACCATGGGGGTCCTCTCGCTGCTGTTCGTGGTCGCCGGGAACAAGCCGCCCCACCGCATGTCCCGGAGGCTTCTGTACGGAGCGCTGGTGTTTCAGGCGGTGGCCGCTGTGGTGTACGTGGTGGCCGTGGGGCTCTACCTCCACTTCGTCATCGGGGTCAACGCCACAGATGTGTGTCAACAGCGCGAGAGGCTGTACGCCCAGAACGGCTACACCTGGATGAGCTGCGACGTGGGCGGGGCGGACGCCGCCGTGGCTCTGTTCGGGCTCATCACCGCCATCCTGTACACCGCCGGCACGGTGCTCACCTTGCAGACCATCCGGAGGGTGAGGAGCTACCTGCAGGAGCGGAAACGCAGAGAGGCAGAGAAGCAGCAGGCCCGGGCCAGCCCGCAGAGAGCCCCGCTGAGGGCTGACACCACCGCTGTGTGAGAGGTCACGGAACGGACACCAGATAAAATCCGTGTGCCGCAGCACAGCTACAGCGGTAGCCATATCCCATAATAAGAGCAATGCAAACGGCCACAGACTAAACCTGATCCACTGCCACGGCTTAAAGCGACAGCTCAACCCACAGCCGGGTGTAGCTCACTGTGGCTGCAGACCCTCAGAGCTTTCAGGGCTCCGTAGTATTCCATGACGATTATGTCAAAGATAGAAGAAACATTTGCTGCCCGACCATGTGTCCAGGTGAACTGAACAATAGTTTACTGCACTCACACTCTAGTGAATGATGCTTATAGCTGCCTAATATTTTTTTTATATTTCTTTCACGCTTTTACACTCCACTGTGTCAAAAATCAAATACTCCACTCGTGGTTCTGATGAAGTTGCATGTCGCTGGCTCTTTTAAGTGTCCGTGAATGTTTTTGTGGCTGGACCAGCTAACAACGAGCTTCTTCCTCTTTAGTTATGTGGGATCGTCAACGTTGGTCTCGGTGGAGCCAGGTAGCCCAAAGAGAGCCAGGTTAACGTTTAGCTTACTCGTGATTCAGGTTCAGTCTGGGAGGAAATTCATTTTCATGTTGGATTGGATCGAGTGTACTCATGCAGGGATTTATATAAATGTTTTTTAACATGTACAATTAATGTGTTTTAATGTCAAAGTTTGACTTTATAATGCAACTTTTTTTTTTTTTTGTACAAGAATGTATCTACTCAAATTAAACCTCCATCAATGTGATTATATTCAACTGTTCCGTTTATGATTAACAGTGTGATGAACATAACGACCTATAGGGAGCACCAGAACTCTGCAAGTCCTGCTGTCATGGTCGCTCTCTGGCTGTGTCCCAATCCAGCGGCTGCATCCTTCAGAGGACGCAGCCTTCACGGTCTGATCTAGAATCCCTGCTCAGGATATA